GGGGGTTTTAACTCTTACCTACAAGATCAAACTTCTTTTGGGTGTAGGTACAAAATGTGATAGGCACCAAGTTAAGGTAATCAACAGTGAATTATATTGTACAAGCAAGCAGGGTACACACGCACAGAAAAGTAATATTTAAACCTTGGAGTTTTTTGTTTTCTAATTCAAGAAGCAAAGAGAGTGTTTCTGTTGGCTAGTTCACTCCTCAAATATCCACAGTGGCCTGGCCAAAGCAGCACTTGGGGACTCGACCGAGGTCTCTCCTGGCTGTAGGTAGCAGAAATTCAAGGACTTCAGGTGTCCCTTGCTGACTCCTGGTGTCTGAACAGGCAAAACGAATGGGAGCTGGAGCCGAGAGTCAAGCAGAGGCTCTATGAAACAGACACAGGCTTCCTAACCAGGATCTTAGCTGTTAGGCCAAGTGTCCACCCAGAACATGTGTGTGCACGAGTGAGTGTCTGCGTGCATGTGTGTGTGCAGACACATGAGTGTGTGTGTAACCTGAAAGGCACAGAGAGGGTGTACTTTAGCATGAAGCTGCTTGTAAGAATAGAGAGAGTTGGGTCTTAAACCCGGGCAGTCTTATATGGGAGCAGATATCCCAAATAACATCCTAACCAACATAAAAATGCTCACTCTTTAATACTTTAAGCCAATTATTCTTAATACATATAAGCTGCTCACATGTTCTTTTTGTATTTATTGTCATCTATATACTCGAAGCGCTTTCCGTGGCACAGGTGCAAACCGTCCTGTGCAGCAGTTACAGGGAAAGAAAACCTGGGGGCTGCCTTGACACAGTGAACTCACTGTGTCCTCCATCAGAGCTCCAGGTCAAGTCCCAGATGCTCTGTCCCCAGTACAGCTAATGTGCTCAAAATGGCAGCGGATGACTGAAATACGTAGGCCCCTCCCACCCACGTGACAGACCTGGGTGGCATGCCTGGTTCCTGGTTTGAACCTGGCCCAACTCTGGCTGCCGTAGCCATCTGGTGAGTTCACTCCCGAAACGACCATAACAGCTGTAACTGAGCTGATCTGAAGCCAGAATCCAGGAGCTTCTTCCTGATCTCCCACAAGCATGTAAGGTCCCAAGAACCAGGACCATCCTCCATTATTTTCTCAGGTCATAACCAGGGAGCTGGATGGAAAGTGGAGCAGCCGGGACATGAACCAGCATCCACATGGGATCCCGGTGCACACAAAGGATTAGCTTGTCAGGCCACTACTCAGGCTCCAAAATAAATAAACCTTTTCAGAAGCTTTTTTAACCCTGATGCACACACTTACTAACAAGAAGACTGAATTGTTATTTGTTATCATAGTTCAGACTGTTAGCTCTGAGGGCGTGGAAACTCCAAAGAAATCAACACAAAGTAAAAAAGGCTGGATTAGTTTTAAAAAGTTTCCTGAGTAACTGAGAAAATCCCAGGACCAGAGAGCTTCACTGCTAAATTTCATCAAACCTTCCAGGAAGAAATGACATCAATTCTTCTCAAATTATTTAGAAAAACTTAGAAGAAAGGAACCCTTCAAAACTATTTCTACAAATCCTGGATTACTGTGAGTCCAAGATCAGACAAGGACTTCACAAAAGAAGAAAACCATAAACTAGTGTCTCTGACAAATGTGGGTTGCAAAAATTGTCAACAAAATACTAGCAAATAGAATTCAATAGTTCCTCAGATAATCCACCATGATCACATGGGATTTACACCACACATCCATTAACAAATGTGATGCAGCACTTCAATAGAATGAAGGACCAAAACTATAAGATCAGAGCCGATATTTGGTCCAGAGGCTGGGGCACCCATCCTGCGTGAGCTTCCTGCTAATGCAGACTCCGGGAGGCAGTGGCAATGGCCCACAGAGCTGGGTTTTTGCCATCCACACAGGAAATCTGGATTGAGTTCCCGGCTCCTGGCTTCGATTCCCGCTAGGGCCACTGCAGGCATTTGAGAATGAACCAGTTGATGTGAGCCCTATCTCTGTCTCTTAAATAAATATTTAAAAAAGAAGACCAAGTGATCATCTCAATAGATGCTGGAAAGAGTTCAATTTAAATTCAACTTCTCTATAATAAAAATCAGACTGAATGGGAAAACGCTCAAATCAATTCCACAAAGGTCAGCAACAAGAAGAGGATGTTTTCTGCTCCCATCACTCTTTACTGTGGCACGAGAAATCTTCCTCTGGGGGATAAAGGCAACAGAAAGGGCACCCCAAAACAACGGAGAAGGTCAAGTTATTCCTGTTTGTGGGCAAAATGATTTGTTATCTAGAAAAACCTAGACGCCACCCAAAACCTGATGGAACTTACAAACTCAGCAATGTTTCAAGACACAAAGTCAACATGTAAATATCAGTAACTTTTTAAAAATGCACTAATAATGAAATTGTCAAGAGAGAACTTTAAAAAAGCTATCCCAGCTATAAGAGCTACCAGAAATTAAAACAAAACATCAAGGAATAAATCTAACCAAAGAAATGAATAATCTCTACAGTGAGAGCTGCAAAACACTGATAAAAGAAATTAGAGGCTGCGAAACAGTGAAATGCCCTCTCGCACACACCTTGGAAAAATTAATATTAGAATGTCCATGTTGTCCAATGTAATGGGCAATGTAATTCCTACCAAATTATAGTGATAGTCTTCATAGATCTGGAAAAAAAAAAATCCCAAGCAACTAAATCACAAAGGTTTCTCCATAGCCGAAGAATTCCTAGGCGAAAGAACAAAGTTGAAGGTATTATGATGCCTGACTCCAAAAATGCTTCCAGACGAGGCATTGCCCTGGTGGTTAAGCTGCTGATCAGGACAGCTGCATTCCACAGTGGACTGCCTGGCCTCAGCTCAGACTCCACTTCCACTTCCCGCTTCCTGCTAGCACCTGCTGGGAGGCAGTGGTGATGGTTCCCTGCTACTCCTGTGGGAGACCTGACTGAGCTCCTTGCCTAAGCATGTGCTACAAAGTTATTGTATCTAAAACGGTATGGCATTGGCATAAAAACAAACAGAAACTAACTGCCGTATGTAAAACCAAAAGATTTTGAACAAAGACAGTAACGGTACATACTTGAAAAATGATCCTCTCTTCAACAAACAGTGCTGGGCAAACTAGATTCAGAGAAAACAGACTCCCATTTCTCACCACGAACAAAAATAAACCAAAAACAGATTGGAGATTTGGATGTATGAGCCAAAACTATGGAATTGCTAGAAGACAACACAGGGGAAACACTTAGGCACTAGTCCAGGAAAATATTGGATAGGGGTCCCAAAGGCACAGACAATAAATGCCAAAATTGACAAATAGGACAGTATAACCGAAAAGGTTCTGCACGTTAAAGAAAACAGTGAACAGAGTAAAGAAACAACCTACACAGTGGCAGTAAATATTTGTGAATCATTGACCAAACCTGGCATTAATACCCAGCAGGTAAAAGAAACTCGAACAAATAAACTGCATAAACCCATGCAGTTCAATTTCAAATGAGTAAATGACCCAAACACATATGTCTCAAAAGACACAAGGCCCCATGCAGTAGCCTGCTGGTAAAGTCCTCGCCTTGCATGGGCCAGGATCCCTTATGGGTGCCATTTCTAATCCCGGCAGCCCCGCTTCCCATCCAGCTCCCTGCTTGTGGCCTGGGAAAGCAATCGAGGATGGCCCAAAGCCTTGGGACCCTGCACCTGTGTGGGAGACCCAAAAGAAACTCCTAGCTCCTGACTTCGGATTGGCTCAGCTCTGGCGGTTGCAGCCACTTGGGGAATGAATCATTGCATGGAAGATCTTCCTCTCTGTATATCTGACTTGCCAATAAAAATAAAATGAAAAATCTTTAAAAAACAAAAGTCCACAAAACACGAACAGATACATATAAGGTTAATATCATATCTCCCCTGGGAAATGCAACTCAAAATTAAAACTTCAAAGAAACAAAAAATATCTTTCAGAGAAATAAATGAATAAGGGCAAAAATAAATTCTGATGAGAATGGGGAGAAAGGAGAACTCTTACACATTGTTGAAGAGAATCGAAATTCGCTCAGCCTTGATGGGGAACACTAAAAGACTTCCTGAGGAAACCAGGACTAGCACTCCCATGTGATCCTGCAATCCCCATTACCAGAGAGACAGTCCAAGGAAATGAAAGCAGTACACTGAAATATATCTGCACACTCATTGTTCCTGCAGCAACATTCTTAATACTTGAGACATGGTGACAAAATGGATATAGAAAATCCAGAATATATATACACAATGGAATATTATTCAGCTGCAATAAGACCGGAATGACTCACCTACATCAAACGGACGGAAAGCTGCAGGTCACGATTTTAAAGGAACTACATCAGACACAGAAAGACAAATACTGTGTGTTCTCATTTACATGCGGAATCGACAAGGGGGCACCCATAAAGGCAGGGAATAGAAAAAGACCCCCAGAGCCAGGGAAGGGAGAGGGTGACAGGGTACTGATAGGTCAGGCACAGATTCAGGGGTACTGGAGGGTGGGAGTAGCCTCTGATTAGATATAGTAAGACAGCCATGGTTTTACAACTAACTGACTGTTTTTAAAACAGCTAATAGAGGATTCTGAACGTTTCCCACACAGAAATGATGCCTGAGGTGACAGATGCTGATTGCCCGATGTGACCCCACTGGACACGCGTACTGCTGACATGTCAACACCGTACTCCACAACATCTGCGGCCAGCATGTGTCCACGAAAAACAAAGGGATAGTGAAAAACTACGAAAAACCATTGCCAAGTTGTAGTCTAAGTTCGGTCAGTTCCTCCACTTTTTAGTTGCTACCGTTACTTATTAAGTCATAATAATATTTAATCTGACATATAATTGTATTTTTAAATTTTGAAAAGCTGTCTTTCCACCCAACACAAGCCACAGAAGGCTCCAATGTAGCTGTGAGCGAAGCCCCATCCTTGCCTCCCAGTCTCCCTCGGCCAGACAGGGGCATGCATCACTACCTTCACCGCAGCATTCTCGTGCATGGTGATGCAGTTATTGATGTCTTCTGAGAGCTGGTACAAGGCCTGAGCAGTGGCTCGGTGCACATTGGTGTCGTTGGACTTCAGGTACCGCACAAGGGGGGCTACTGCTCTGTATTCGCCAAAGGCCACTCTATTCCTGCCCCACATGCAGCAACGTGCAATGACTTCTGCCAGGTGCCGCCTCAACTTATCGTTGCTCTGCACAAAGGGAAACAAATGGTGAGCTGTGCATGTGTGCATGGTGACGCTCCTGCGAGGTGCCCTTGTGGCTGTCGCCCACTGAGACAGCGGGTCCCTGAGGTTTTGGCTTGAAGGGACTAGGGTTTGGGTTGATCGCCAGCAGACCACAGCTCAACCCCGAGTTTTCTTTTCAGGAATTGAATGTGGTCAGCTCTTGGAGGCTTATTCGGGTGTCTAACATTCATCGTGTGCCCAAGGACAACACAGAATTAGAAATTAACAAGCTTTTGGCAATGAAAAGGAAGGAAGAAGATTATGTGTTTTGTTAATTTTTTTTTTTTTTTTTTTTTTTTTTTTATTATTGTTGCTTACATTGTATTGTGTAGTACAGTTTCATAGGCGCTGGGGATTCCCCCCACCCCTCCCATACCCCTCCCCCCATGGTGGATTCCTCCACCTTGTTGCATAACCATAGTTCAAGTTCGGTTGAGATTCATTGCTTGCAGACACATGCCTAGCATAAAGTTCAGCGTCTTATTGTCCAGATAAGTTCAGTGGCCTCTTGGGGAGACCTTCTATGGTCTGAAAATAGGTCTAACCGAGTAAAGATCCAGTCAGTTAAAAGCCCCAACGAGGCCACAGTATCAATATACAACATTATGGAATTAATTGACATAGTATTGGGTAAACAATATGTTAAAAATAATGCAAGTTCCCTTCTTCGAAACATCTGGGTTGAGACAGTATCAATGACAGGTTCAAAAAAAAAAAAAAATAACAAACAACCAAACAAAAAATTACAGGTTAAATCAAGGCAAACATGTGGTATCTAATCTTTTGGGATTCGCTCATTTCCCTTAGCATTATAGTTTCCAGTTGTACCCATTTAGCCACAAAGAACTGCATTTTGTTTTTTTTAATAGCTGAGTAGTATTCCATGGAGTAGATGAACCAAAGCTTTCTTATCCAATCTTCTGCTGATGGGCATTTCGGTTGCTTCCATGTTTTTGCAATTACTGATTGTGCTGCAATGAACATAGGGATGCATGTTGGTTTGTCGTAAAACAGGTGTTTTGGATATATTCCTAGGAGTGCTATTGCTGGGTCATATGGTATGCAGATTTTGAGTTGTTTGAGTGTTCTCCAGACTGATTTCCATAAAGGCTGTACCAATTTGCAGCTCCACCAGCAGTGGAGTAGGGTTCCCTTTTCCCCGCATCCTCGCCAGCAAGCGTCGTTGGTGTTCTTGTTTATGTGGGCCAATCTTACTGGTGTTAGGTGGTACCTCATCGATGTTTTAATTTGGATTTCCCTTATTGCTAGGGAGCTGGAACATTTTTTCATATGTTTGTTTGCCATTTGGACTTGTTCCTTTGTGAAATGTTTGCCCATTTCCCGTGCCCATTTCTTGAGTGGCTTGTTTGTTTTGGTTTTTTGGTTGTTTTGAAGTTCTTTATATATCCTGGAAATTAGCCCCCTATCGCCTATATCGTGTGCAAAGATCTTCTCCCACTCTGTGGGTTGCTTTTTTACTTTGTTGATTGTTTCCCTTGCTGTACAGAAGCTTCTTAGTTTGATGAGGTCCCATTTGTTTATTCTGTTCTCAACTGCTATTGCTTTTGGTGTCCTTCTTAGAAAGTCGGGACCTACTCCTAGGTCTTGCAGGGTATTTCCTACATTTTCTTGCAAGAGTTTGAAGGTTTCTGGATGTAGGTTTAGGTCTTTTATCCATGTAGATTGGATCTTAGTGTATGGTGATAGATGTGGGTCTATTTTTTTGTTTCTACAGGCTATCAGCCAGTTGTCCCAACAACATTTACCAAAGAGGCCTTCCCACTTGCTTGAGCTGTCATTGGTCTTTTTGTCAAAGATTAATTGGCTGTATTTGTGTGGGTTCCCTTTTGGTGCTTCTATTCTATTCCATTGATCTTCCTTTCTGTCTTTGTGCCAGTACCAGGCTGTTTTGATAACCACTGCTCTATAGTATGTCCAGAGGTCCGGGATTGTGATTCCCCCTGCTGACTTCTTATTTTTCAGGATGGTTCTAGCTATTCGTGGTTTTTTGTGCTTCCAGATGAACTTTTGAATCATTGTATCCAGTTCCGTGAAGAATGTTTTGGGCAATTTGATTGGAATTGCATTGAAAATGTATATTGCTTGTGGTAGTATAGACATTTTAATGATATTGATTTTGCCTATCCAGGAGCACGGGATGTTATTCCATCTTTTGAGGTTTTGTTCAATTTCCTTTTTAAATAGTTTGTAGTTTTCTTCGAATAGGTCTCCTACGCTTTTGGTTAGATTTATTCCCAAATACTTCATACTTCTCTCTGCTATTTTGAATGGTATCCTGTTGGTTAGATCTTCTTCCATCTTGGTGTTATTTGCGTACACTATGGCTGTTGATTTTCGTTCGTTAATTTTGTACCCCGCCACTCTGCCAAACTCTCGTATAAGTTCTAGCAGTTTCTGTATTGAGTCTCCTGGTTTTTCTATGTATAGGATTATGTCATCTGCATATAGTGAAAGCTTGACTTCTTCGTTTCCTATACGTATGCCTTTGATTTCTTTTTCTTGTCTTATGGCCTCTGCAAGTACCTCTAGGACTATGTTGAATAGCAGTGGTGATAGCGGGCACCCTTGTCTTGTTCCAGATCTCAGTGGGAAGGGTTCTAGCTTTTCTCCATTCAGTATGATACTGGCGTTGGGTTTTTCATAAATTGCTTTGATTATGTTGTGGATTTTCCCATCTATGCCTACTTTGGCTAGAGTTTTTAGCATGAAGAGGTGTTGGATTTTGTCGAAAGCTTTTTCTGCATCTATTGAAACTATTATGTGGTTCTTGTTTTGCTGTTTTTGGATATGGTTTATAACATTTATGGATTTCCGAATGTTGAACCATCCCTGCATCCCAGGGATGAATCCTACTTGATCCGGATGAATGATCTGTCTGATGATTTTTTGAATTCTATTGGCTAGGATTTTGTTGAGAATTTTAGCATCAATGTTCATCAGAGAAATAGGTCTGTAGTTTTCCTTCTCTGATGGTTCTCTGTCCGGTTTTGGGATTAAGGTGATGTTGGCTTCATAGAATGAGTTTGGGAGGGTTGCTTCCTCCTCTATTGTTTTGAAGAGCTTGTAGAGGATTGGGGTTAGTTCTGTTCGGAATGTTTTGTAGAATTCTGTAGTGAAGCCGTCTGGGCCTGGGCTTTTTTTCGTTGGGAGATCCTTGATGACTGTTTCAATCTCTACCTCGGTTATGGGTTTATTTAATTCTGCAGTTGCCTCCGGACTGAGTTTTGGTAAGTGGTGGGAGTCCAAGAACTTTTCTATTTCTTGGTGGTCCTCAAATTTGTGGGAGTACAGTTCTTTGTAGTAATTTCTAATTATTTTCTTAATGATTGCAGTGTCTGTTGTTATGTTGCCTTTTTCATCTTTAATGCTATTAATTCTCACTTTCTCTTGTTTTTTTTTGGTCAATCGGGCCAGTGGAGTGTCTATTTTGTTTATTTTCTCAAAAAACCAACTTTTTGATTTGTTGATTTTATGTATAGTTTTTTTGATTTCTATTTGGTTTATCTCCTCCCTTGTTTTGATGATTTCTTGTTTCCTATTGTGCGTGGGACTCTTCTGCTGCTGTTTTTCCAGATCCTGGAGGTGTGAGGTTAGTTCCTGTATTTGGCGTCTTTCTTGGGCCTTGACATGCGCTCCGATTGCGATGAATCTACCTCGTAGCACTGCTTTGGCGGTGTCCCACAAGTTTTGGAATGTTGTATCAGAGTTTTCATTGGTTTCCATAAATTTTTTGATCTCATCTTTGATTTCTTCTCTGACCCAATGTTCGTTTAATAGCATATTGTTCAATTTCCAAGAGTGCGTATACTTCTTGGGGAGTTTTGAGTTGTTGATTTCCAGTTTCATCCCATGGTGGTCTGAGAGGGTACATGGTATGATACTAATGTTTTGGAAGTTGTTTAGATTCGCTTTATGTCCTATCATGTGGTCGATTCTGGAGAAGGTGCCATGCACCGCTGAGAAGAATGTATAGTCTGTGGCCTTAGGATAAAAAGTTCTATATATGTCTACTAAGTCCAGTTGTTCTATTGTTTGTGTGAGCTCTGTTGTTTCTTTGTTGAGTTTTTGTTTCGTAGACCGGTCCATTGTTGTTAGAGGTGTGTTGAGATCGCCTACAAGAATTGTGCGGGTGTCTATGTCTTCCCTTAAGTCTGTAAGTAATTGCTTTACGTAACTAGGTGCATTAAGATTCGGTGCATAAACATTAATGATGGTGATTGCTTCTTGATGGATCATTCCTTTCACCAGTATAAAATGGCCTTCCCTGTCTCTTTTGATGTTAGTTAGAATGAAATCTATCTCGTCTGAAATTAGGATAGCTACCCCAGCTTTTTTTTCTCGTCCATTAGCGTGAAATATCTTTTTCCATCCCTTCACTTTCAGTTTCTTTGCATCCTTTCTGGTTAGATGCGTTTCTTGTAGGCAACAGATGGTTGGGTCTTGTTTGATGATCCATTCTATTAATCTCTGTCTTTTGATTGGTGAATTTAGACCATTTGTGTTGAGAGTTAAAATTGAGAGGTTGCAATTTTGCCCTGCCATGTGTTTGTGTTGTGTATGTGTTGTTGCCTATGTAGTTGTCTTGTTTGTGCGGCCTTTAGTTTGGAGACCTTCTTATTTGCCAACTTTGTTTGTGATTTGCCTCCTTTTTGTCCGGGACTAGCGCATTTCTAAGGAGACTTTGCAGGGCTGGTTTTGTGTAGACATATTCTTCTAGTTTTTCTTTGCTATTGAAGTATCTGATTTCGTTCTCAAATACAAATGAGATCTTTGCTGGGTAGATTATTTTTGGTTGACAGTTGTTTTGTTTCAGGACTTGGAAGATCTTTGTCCATTCTCTCCTTGCTTGTAGGGTCTCTTCGGAGAAGTCAGCAGTAATTCTGATGGGTTTTCCCCTGTATGTGATCTTTTCTCTACTTCGTACTTGTCTCAGGATTCCTTCTTTGTCTTCATTGGAGTAGAACTTGAGCACCGTGTGTCTGGGTGAAGATCTCTTTGGATCATGTCTGTTGGGAGTTCTCTGTCCATCCTGTATGCGGGGTGGATTCGTGTTCCAAGTGTTTTGGAAGTTTTCCTGTATAATTTCATCAAGCACTGCTTGCATCCCAGATTCTCTTTCTACTCCCTCGGGGAGGCCGATGATCCGAATATTCAATTTTCTAAGGTAATCCTTCATCTCTTGCATCATTTTATTAGTTTTGCTGAGGTTTGTCTCTAGCTGTTTAATTCGCTGGGCACTTTCATTTTGTGTGTCTTCTGTTTCAGAGATCCTTTCCTCTGCCGCATTTATTCTGTTGATGAGGCTTTCAATTTTATTCTCTTGGGCATCCAGTTTGGTTTTGATTTGTTGTATTTCGGTGATTATGCGGTTCTGGTAGTCTTCCAGCTTTGTGTCCACGTCTCTGAGAAATTTTAGCATTATTTTCATCAATTCCTTTGCTGGTAACACGTCCATGTCTTCATCTCGCATCGCCGATATTGATAATGGCTTTTGGCCCATGTTTGGTGGGGTGCTGGCTCTTTCATCTGGAGCACAGCTCTTTCTAGTGGTTTTTCCCATTGCGTTGGTGTATTCTGGTAAGGCAAATGGACCCGTGTGTTGAGGGGCTGTCAGGTGCTTTCCTGTAGAGATTGGAGCCTGCAAGCGTGGTGTTGCCGGGCGTGGTAATTTTCAAGGCACCGTTGGTGCGTTCTCAGGGCCCGGGGCTGTAGAGCACCACCTTGGGGGCCCAGTGGATTCCAGGCACACTCTGGGCACCTCTTCTACAGGTGTGCCACCGCAGGGCGTGGAGGGATGGAGGCGCTCTCTGGGCGCGCCCCCTGCACGGGAATCCACAGGACGTAGAAGGTTTTATGTGCTTTCTCCCTGCGTTCTCCTTGTCAGGGACTGCAGGGTTTTTCAGAGCCCGCCTGGTGTGTCTCCCACACACAAGACTGTGGTTGAGGCACTTTCTGGGCGTGGCTCTTGTGCAGTGATTCCACCACTCGTGGTGTGTGTGTGGCTCCTCCTCACAGGACCGTAGAGGAGGTGTGACCCAGGCGCCTGTTAAAATAACTTCTCAGCGGGATCGCACAGTGCCAGTGTGGCACAGGAGATTTCAGAGCTCTCCCGGTGTGTCGCCTACACTCAGGACTGCGGGGTGGGAGGCGAGGAATGGACAGTTCACACTATGGGAGTGGCATCTGCGTGTCAGGGACACACAGCGCTACACTTCCCAGTTCAGCACCCTCCTGACTCCTGCGCTACGGAGGCGGCTGCTGCAGGCGGGACCGCCTAGCCCAGCCCGGCGCGGCTCTCAGAGTCCTCCTGGTGCTGTCGCCCACCCACAGGGTTTCAGGGTGTCGGGGATTCCAGACTCCCACCAGCAGCCTCCGCGCGCTGAGATGCACTGGCCCACTTAGCGCAGGAAGATCTGAGGCGCTTTCCCGGGACCTTTTCAGCCACCAACACGCACCGCTGTTCCCAAGGCACAGACCTGACAGTTTCAGGTTGCGCCCCTTGTGTTCTCAGAGGCTGGAGCCTCAGCAGGGGGTGGGGAATGCGGAGGCTGCCACGTTAATCCCCAGCTCACCAAAGTCCGGCTGCTGCAGTCTGCTTCTGCTGTTGTTGAAGAATTCCGCCGGCGACGATCCCTCCGATTTCCCTGTCTCCAAGCTGGCCGCGTCTCCCGTCAGGCCGCTCTCAAAGGTGACTCAGCAGGTCTGGAGTGGGATGTCGGCTTCTCTACCTTTGCCCTGCTCCGTTCTCGTTGTTCTTCCGAGTTGTGTGGAACTTTTTGGCTCCACACTGTCCCAGGGAGTTTCACGGACCTCTCCCTACGGTTTCCTGCCGCTCCTCTTCGCTGCCTCTGCAGCACTCTAACCTTCTCTCACTGAACTCTCCCTCATAGCCTTTCTCCTACGTCGGCCATCTTCCCTTCCCTGTTTTGTTAATTTTTAAAGTTTACTGTGTTTTTTTGAAAGGCAGTGAGACAGAGAGAGAGAGAGAGAGAGAGAGATCACCCAACCTTTAGTTCACTCCCCTAATGCTTGCAGTAACCAGGGTGAACAAAGCTGAAGCTGGGAGCTGGGCATTCAACCTGCATCTCCTGTGTGGGTGGTAAAGGCCCAGCACCGGAGCCATCATTTGCTGCCTCCCAAGCGCCACGGTCAGGAAGCTGGAATTGGCAGTGAAGCCAAGACTGGAGCCCAGGCGCTCTGAGCTGGGATGCAGGTGTCCCAGGCAGCGGCTTCACAGTGCCTCCCCATTGTAGAGTCTTGAGGGAATACTTTCCCAAACTGGAATATGTGGATTAAGCTACTCCTTCACCCTAGAAATATTTCTGCATCAGAAATATTCTTTATTTCCCAAGAGGGAGAAAGACAGCACAGCCCACACACTGGCATCTTTTGAGTCTTCCATTATCCTGGTCTTCTTTCTTTTCGTATGTAATGACCTTGTATCGGCAAAATGGAACCAAAGAGCATCCTGCCTGTGTGCATTGACCGGACTAGTCTCTAGATGTGGGCAAGGGCTTGGTGCCTGGCATACGCTCTGAGGAACTAAGTCTTCTCGACCCACCACTAGCCGCTGTCTGCATTTCTGCTCTGTGGCTCTCCTGCCAAGTGGTAGTCCAAACTCTACTCAAATCCTCCTGGTCACAGTGAGGTCATTGTTTCTCCAGGCTGCTTGTTCCATCCGGCCCGGCCCTAGGTAAACAATACAGTGATCGCCAGAGCCTTCTAGCTCAAGAATGCCATCAACTTGCTGGCTTGCACAACTGTCTTCAGAATAATAACGGTGCTGGTGGTAGGGGAGATGATAGCTAGCACTTACATAATAGCACTTCTATGTGTCACCACAGTACCTGCCAGTAGCCTCTATTTTTACAAGGGCCTTGTCTAGGAATGTTTTATAGTTTAAAACACGCTTTTGCATATATGAGTCTCAGGAAAAGCAAATGAGTTGGCCAAAGCCTCCTATCTCGTGAGGGACAGGCAGTGAAGTTCAATCCAGATCACTGGATTTTAAGCTCCTTGCGTGGTGCCGTTGCACCAGAACATCGTGAAACAGAACGCATACAAGAAAATGAGTGTTACTTACTGTGTTGGTCAGTTTGGACAGTAAAGGGACGACCCCATGATCTGTGATGACGGCGAGATTTTCCTGGTCTTTGGCTATGTTGGTAATAGCAGCACATACACTCGCCAGAACTTCCTGGTTATCTGACTTGAGCAAGCTGACGATGAGTTCCAAACCACCGACAAAGGACCGAACCATTTCTCCAGCATCCTAGATGGAAAAGCAGAACTGGGATCAGAAAGAAACCTACGTGTAAAAATCAGAAAGTAGTAACAAAGCTGTGAGGTACATGGTTGTTAGGAAAGAAGCATTCAGTTTAGTTTAGCTCAGTATTATTTATAACACACGTAATTCCCCCATGCATGTGAGTATATTTGGAAGTGAATATACACACACACACACATACATATAACAGACATGCTTGCAAAATTTCATTTCAAAAAATTATCATTTCCAAGTGACTGTGCTGGCTACTGAGAAACAGAAGTTAACAAAATGTAATAGAGTCTTACAGTTTGTGGTAGTTTTGCTTCTTTTTTTTTTTTTTCAGGCCGAGTGACAGGGTGACAGAGGAAAAAGAAATCTTCCATCTGCTGAGTCACTCCTCAAATGACCGGAACAGCTGGCCTGGAATTCCATCCTGGTTTCCCAAGAGAGAGACAGAGGCCTAAAGCACCCGGGTCATCCTCCACTGATTTCCCTAGTACAGCAGCAGGGAGCCGGAATGGAAGTTGAGCAGTTGGCACTTGAATCAGGATTCTGATGTGAGATGCCAGCCCTGCAAGGTCCCAACGTGAACCCTTGTTTTGTTTCATGGTCGCCACTAACACTGATTGGGTTAATGCTGTCTCATCGCTCCTTACTATCACCCACTTGATATACAGCTTGCCCACGTGTGCAAGGGGACACCCTATTTCCTAGATGCAATTCATTCAGGGACATTGAACTTAGAGCCAGTGAGACTGTTACTCAAGCCACAATGCTGATCCAATACCAAGGATGGCACAGGGAGCCTTCTCGCTCAGCAACACCGGGTAGCATTTCAGCTCCATACCTGGAGCCATTTCAAGCAATGACATAATGAAGCCAAAGCACAGGAAAAAAGACGGCCAATCGGAAGCCAGGAGCCAGGAACTTCCTCCAGGTCTCCCACCCGGGTGCAGGGGCCCAAGACTTTTGGCCGTCCTCAACTGCTTTCCCTGGCCACAATCAGGGAGCTGTCACTTGGGGAGTGAATCATCAGATGGAATATCTTTCTCTCTGTCCCCTCCTCCTCTCTGTGTATCTGACTTAGCAATAAAAATAAATAAATCTTACAAAGAAAGAATCACATACAGTCACAGACAGAATCCACACACTTGCACTTTGTATATCAGTCTTTTGTGATAAAAAAAAAAAAGAAGAAAAGAGGGAGGCCAAACAATGGACACTTGTTACCAGGGTGACAGCAGAAAATAGTGCTTTGTTCGATCTCAGCTGGGGTGTGTGTTGGGCAACTTAGCAATTTTTCACCTCTCCATGACCGCGAAAGCAAAGTGGGTACTGATTTGGTGGTGACAAACGCATTTTAACAAGTAGGCAAATCCCTAGATAGAATCTGTGAGTACAAGCATAGACTGTAGCCACTCGTGAGCCATCGTGATGTTTACAGCTTGGGGCAGCTGGGCATTAAACCCTCAAAAGCATAACGAACTGCACTAGGACAGAGGAACAGCCACCATGAGGTCCAGACGTAATGCCCCTCACCCAGGGGAGCCTGACAAAGGCCCCTGGGATTGTGGGCCCCTCCATGTGAGATGGATCTGAGAGGGAGAGTGAGAACATTAACACGTGCGCGGCAGCATGGGAGAAAATGGGACTTGGGCAGTGAGAGGTCTGGGCAGGTTCGGTGAAGAGTGTGAGGTTTCTCTGCAAGGCACGTGGAAACCGTTGAAGAGGTTTCAGTTGTAGGCGTAGGGGAATTTTCTTAGAGAATCCCTTGGGATTAGATGTTGAATCAAGGGAGGAGGCAAAAACACGTGTGGGGCAGTCAGAGGGGATGTGACCAGTCCAGCCAGGAGACGGTGATGAGTTCGGAGGGGAGCAGAAGCACGTGGCCTGGGGAACATTACTGGGGGTGCTTCCCACGGGTGGGTGCATGACGACTCTCAAGCTTTAGTTTTGTTTCTTGGGTGTGAGGTAGGATGGTTTTTGATGAGAGCCTCTAATTTATGTTTAATATATTCGCTCTCATTTTACATCTACACCTATATCTATCTAATTTTAATATATTTGCTTCTTTCCTCTAGAACATTATGGCTTTATTTTTAATTTACTTATTATTTTATGATATAGTTCCATAGGCTCTGGGATTTCCTTCTATGCGCCCCAAATCTCCTCTCCTTCATTGATTTCCCCTAAATTATTACATCAGTGCAGGCCTTCAGAAACAGTCCTAAGTCCATCATTCTTCTATCTATGTGTATCCTGACATTGTAGGTAAGAACAGTGACAGAGAGTCCAGCATCCCATTATCAAAATCTATTTAATAGTTTCACTGGGTCTCCATTTTTTATTAGGAAGTAGAGATGCATATTGTGTTGTATCTTCACATCCGGATGGGAGAGCCTCTATTACACAGTTACTATACATACCCTTTAAATGAAAAGCCACAAAACAAAATCAACAATAGGAAGAGAAATAGAAAATTTACAACAACACGAAGTTAAATAACATATTATTGAATGACCAATGTGTCACTGAAGAAATGAAAAAGAAAATCAAAGACCTTCTTGAAGCAAGCGATGCTATTCACTGACCTATGAGTCAGTGAAGAAATTAGTAAGAAAATATTTAAGAAAGGAAAACAGAAGCAAAATGTCTACAAGATGCTAATAGTTAAAAGGCTTATATTTTAATTGTATGCTACACTGTCACCTTTCCATACTTCCGTGCCTTAAGATGCTACCAAAGCAAAAGGGTGCTGGGCATGGGCTTCTCAGGGACAGCCTTTTGTTTTTTTAATTTTTAAAAAGATTTATTTATTTATTTGGAAGAGTGACTGAAAAGGGGGGAAAGATACAGACTGACAGACTTTCTACCCACTAGTTCACCATACCCCATCCCCAAAATGGTTGCAACAGTCAGTCCAGTTTAGGTCAAATCCAATCCAATAGCCCAGAATTCCACCCAGGTCTTCCATGTGGTTCAGGGGCCCAAGCACTGCTTTCCCAGGCACATTGGCAACAAGTTGGGTAGAGAACAGAGTAGCTGGTGGCTCTGCCTGCTACACCAGAGTAACTGCCTCTCCAGCCCTGATTCATAGGCACAATACATGCCGTCCCAGGGTGATGACAGACAATGGGGCCTGGCCACATCTCCCCTCTTAGGAGGCAAGGAAACGGCCTTTCCCTTCAAAAGGAGCAGAATGAAGATGATGGGTAATTTCCATGAGGGGTTACCATGTGAAGTAAGACCAAGGAAAAGACAGAGAAAAACAACCACCTCGCGGTCACGTGAGGGCAGGGCAACCGGACCCACCTGCCTACAAGGCAGAAGAGAGCTGGGCGAAGCCACAACAGGAGAAAAACAACCCCAAGAGGAACAAAACGTATCACTTACAATGATTAAAGCTTATCAATTGTCTCATTAAGAAAAAAATAAAGAAAAATTAAAAGACTTCCACAAAGAGTTAAAACCGGAAAAAGTGTGTGTGTGTGTAAATTAGAAAACCAGAAGAAATGCAGCAATGAAAAGATAGATAAATGGGTGATTTATGTAAATAAATAGATATATGAATCCTGTAAAATGATGGAAAAAAAATTCCTAAAAGAAAAATCCAAGGGGACAAATCTAGCATACAAAAAAAAAAAAAAAAAAAAACAGAAGAAAGGAGAAGAGTAGAGAAAGACAAAAAGAAGAAATAGAATTCAAGAAAAGGTTCATTCTCTTGGAAGCATTGTCTCACAGATCTGGGAAAACTGACTGCAAACAGAACTATACATTCTAGCACGATGTTGGACTTTTTTAAAAAAAGTACTTTGGTCATCCAAGCAAAAAGACCAACTCATCTGCAAGGAAAAGAAGATGTTGTCATCAAACCTTTCCATAGCAACATCCCGGTGACTCACTCAAGGAGAGGAAACGCGAGGCCAAGGCTGTGGCGTGGAAGCACAGCGTGAAGCTCTCCCAGCCATCAGAGACCTCAGGGAATGACAACCCCGAGGCTGCTCCCGCGTGGGACCTCCTGGAGCATGGGCATCACACCTCCAGAGTGCCCACAGGGACGTGACCAAGCACCACCACTTGGCCTCCTTCAGGATAACGTCACAGCCAAGCGCTGTCCCAGTCTGGCTTGCTTTTTTTTTTTTTTCTCCCAGTGTTGTGTTGGGCCTAACTGGTACCTCCTAAATGTGGTTCTGCAAGAGCCACCGGCTTCTCCATCTTTGCCATGTCAGTTTCCTCACCTGGCTGCTCTGCCATAATCTCACACACTCTGATCTTTCAACACCAGCTCAAAGAACATCTCTCACGAGCCTCGCCCTCTCTCCTTTCCACAGTGCTGGTCACACCCTGTTCTCCAGACTCTCGTGTTTGTCTCTAAAATCCATTTCTCCACTCTCCTTTGGTTGCTAAGCTCTGGTTCTGAGTGTCTGCCACATACATACAGGTGTTACGGGAAAGTGCACTGAATCCCAGTGGTAATTCTTACCCACCTACAAGCTCACTGGAAGTCTCATTACACTTGCCAATCATTATTTAGCGAACCAATTACAGCCAGTGAGGTCTGAGATGATGTTTCTCAGGAATATTCTTGGAAAGTTTTCCTGCTTATAAGGAAAAAAAAAAAATCATTGCAAGTCACACCGGGAAGGGAAAAACAGGAAGTTCCAGAAAAGAGCCTTGGTCCTTAATGAAGCTGTGATGCTGTTGTGTTAGCTCATTCCGAAATCTGATCAGCCATTCACAAGGAAGGCATTTGCAGCCCTGTGCATGCTTCCTGTATTAAGAACATAAAAATACCTGGTCTTGTTCTCTGATTCTCACCTGAAGTATAGGCCTGCATTGGAATATTTGTTGGATATTTAATAAATGTTTGTTGAGGGCTGGGCGGTGCGGCCTAGCAGCTAAAGGCCTCACCTTGAATGCACCTGGATCCCATATGGGCACCATTTCTAATCCCAGCAGCTCCACTTCCCATCCAGCTCCCTGCTTGTGGCCTGGGAAAGCAG